CCTATCCAAGCTTTATCAGGGTTAATCAGACCACAATACAGTGATCAGAGGCAAGTAAGGCAGCCTGGGCAGATCACTCCAGCACTAGAAAATGATCCAAATGGGGAATCGGATGACAAATCGCTGAAAGATGTTTTCAAGACTTTTGACCCAACTGCTTCACCATTTTGTTAGCTAATTGTTAAGATTTTTTACCATTGTGAATAATGCCAGTTTCCGCAGTTTTGTAACTGGGTTTACCTCTATGCTTTATTTATTTTTAAATTATAACCAGAAATACTTTGGGGCTGCTATTTTCAGAACCACATGCAGTAATACTATAGTGTTTGCCAATTTGGTATTTTCTATATAAGTTTCCCATTTCAGGGATATGAATCATTGATCCGTTTAAATAAAAGTGTATATCATGTTAGGTCCAAAAGAAGCACTTTCATTGTAAATCATCATTAAGGGATTCAATTTGAAGACTTGTATATGTGTAATGTGTCTTTTCAGAATCAGCATTTTATGTTTGCCACTTTTGTATGATTGTACAGTTTCAAGCAATATAATGTACATTACTATGAGAAACATTATTTAAGATGATAATTATCTAATCTTCTTGAGCCCAACTTGTTAAGCATTTGACACAGGGCAACATTTTTTTACTCATGACTGATATTCTTAGCCTAAAAATACTGTATTACATACTGAGGAGCGGAATAAACTTTTTAAAGTATTTTATTCTATGCTGTATATATGCAAAGGACATAACTAAAACATTATTGTTAAAATAGAAAACACCTAGGTCTATAAAATGTATTTACTTTTTCATGTATACCCTATTCTCTATTGTGTTATGTCACATTGTGGTGTTCATGTATTCAATGTATTTTTGTATTCTGCTACTTAATTTGTATTGCTTTTTTGTATTGATGTAATGACAGTAACATGTATTCATGTGTCTGGCATTTTTAACAAATTAAAAGAGTGAAATCTCTGACTTTCCTCATGTGGTTTGCTTAGATCTTTGATTTCATGAACAGAAAATTTCATTAATTTTTGCTGTAATTCTGATTTCTTATGTTGCCAACCAGGCATGTGGTATCTCAGTGGCTAAGATGCTGAGCTTGTCATTTAGAAGGTTGGCAGTTCGAATCCCTAGCATCATGTAATGGAGTAAGGCTGCACGTGTAGGGGAACCTTTACCTTTATGTTGTCAACCACCTCTGGTGAAGACCATTTCAAATAACTTCCAGGCCAAAATATTACAGTTGGTAATTTTTGTTTTGCAAAAATCAAAAGCTTCAATTAATTGCGGCAAATAATTGAGGAGGAAAAATTTCACTAAGCAAACTGAATAAATTGTATAAGGAGGTGTGTGGGGAGGGGGTGATATCCAAGTGCTAAGCATTAAGATGCATTAAACTTATGAGGAAATGGGAATTCTGTGGAAGTCTCTTATGTTTCTATCAGGTTTAACACCCTTTCCCCCAACATCAAAATTGTGGCTGTGATCAAGAAACAGAAGCCCCATTCGTTTTAAAATATGCAATTGACACCCCTCCCCCATCCGATATCTGCACCTAGCCAATAAAAAGGATTAGGTTTTTTTATAACTATAATATCTGTATTTTTAAAAAAATCTAAGGTGCATTGTGTCAGCCAATGTAGTTAACAGTGACTTTCAGAAATGTTGAAAGTATTCTCCAGAACATCTGTCTCTTAGGCATACAATATTATATTTACTGGGTCTCTAAAGTAAAGAATATATTTTACTAAAACAACTCTATTAAAGGTTAAAATAAGCTGATGTTTATATTAGTTTAGCATTCATGTTATATCAGCATCAAGGCTTATAAAAATATTTGTCAGATTCATCTGAGACATAAGAAACTAGCTGTCCATTCCGAACAGATGAATGGCCTTTCCATAAATTCTCTTTATGGAAAAGAGAACGCTCGACCTCGTATTCCTCTCGGAGCAGTGGATTTATGATCTTGGTCTGAGGGGTAATGAGATCATACCCCTGTCGT